GATCTCTGAGGAGCTCGGTGGAGCCCTCCTCGGCAACAGGCCACGCCCCCCGGAAGCCCGCATAATGCTTTACTAAAGGCAATTTAATGCTTGGACAAAATTTGATGCTGAACTTTTGCAGTCGGCGTAGGTGCTGCAGAAATGTACTTCAAGGAATAAACTGAGTTTAAGTGAATCTCAATGCCTTGTTCACAGCTGCTGATTGGCTACAAGCCTGAACACCAAGAAGCCTGTTACCTAACCAGGATGGATAAGGAAAATATCCAAGGACTAGATACTCTCCTCAAGGAATTCCAGGTAAGGACGGGAACCCTGATAAGTGAAGAAAAGGCTCCAAGATAACACAGCAAACATCAGCATTAATGGAGAGAAAACTCAGTTAATTTGCAGTGAGGAAAAGATCACAATTGTCCCACAGAGTCCTGAGCGGGGACCTGTGGAGTCAGATCTACTCACCTTTTCTTCTTTCCAACCAAAGGAACGGATGGGTCCAGCTATGTGGTTGTCTTCTCTTGTAGGCCAAGTTGTCTGTCATGCATCTCATGCCAAAGGAGAAAGAGAAAGCACAAGAAGAATTCTTCACATCCCAAGTGGATCGTTCAGGTCTCGGAACCACCATAAACATCCTCTGCAAACACATCCCTATCTTCTACACTTAGGTGAGTAGCAGACAAGGATATTGGAGCAGTGGTGAGATTCAAATGTATTTACTACCAGTTCTGTGAGCATGGCTTGGTGGGATTGGTGTGGCTTGGTGGGCGTGGCAGGGGAAGGATACTGCAAAATCTCTATTCTCACCCTACTCTGGGGCCAGCCAGAGGTGGCATTTGCGGGTTCTCCGAACTACTAAAAATTTCCTCTGCCGGTTCTCCGAACTACTAAAAATTTCCGCTACCACACACACACACACACACACACACATACACACACTTATCCTGTTGCTTTTCAGATACGCTGGACAGGAATTCCCATAGTTCAGAACAAAAGGTCTGTAGAGATTTTCCATCCTCCAGGTCCTGGTTGTCCCAAAGGTGCTTTTTCAGGAGGCAACTGGAGTTTCTTGTTTTTACTTGAAGACGTTTCACTTCTCATCCAAGAAGCTTCTTCAGCTCTGACAGGATGGTGGGGAATGGAAGGATTGATGCTTCTTGCAGACAGCTGATCATTTGCATCCTTTTAGAGGGTCCTTGAAGCACTTGGAGACTTTTAGCTATCCAATTTGGGATGAAGACCCTTGGAATGTTGTGGGAGTAGGAACGGATTCTCAGAGGAAAAATTGCCGATTATAAGAACTGTTTGCACTACTCAGGTGACCCTGAGGACACAGGTAAACCTCCAAGGGGCCTCAATGACCCTCTAAAAAGGATGCAAATGATCAGCTGTCTGCAAGGAGCATAAATCCTCCCATTCCCCACCATCCTGTCAGAGCTGAAGAAGCTTCTTGGATGAGAAGTGAAATGTCTTCAAAGAAAAAAAAACAAGAAAGTCCAGTGGCCTCCTGAAAAATCCCCTACGGGACATAGTTCAAAGCCCCCAAAACCATCTCACTACTTGATGAACTTTATCCAACACATCTAGCAGATACCAGCACTAATTCCTGGGTCCACAATGG